TATAGTTTAAATTACTTAAAATATTTGTCAATCTTAAACCATACAGAAATTTATTATTCAAGGGCAGTTTGGGGGTTGTTTATACATTATTTAAATATAATCAATCAACAAATTAAAAATGTTAACTGTATTACGAAAGTTACAACCCCTGCATTCTAAGTTTGCTGTAGGTTATAGTTTAAATTACTTAAAATATTTGTCAATCTTAAACCATACAGAAATTTATTATTCAAGGGCAGTTTGGGGGTTGTTTATACATTATTTAAACATAATCAATCAACAAATTAAAAATGTTAACTGTATTACGAAAGTTACAACCCTTGCATTCTAAGTATGCTGTAGGTTATAGTTTAAATTACTTAAAATATTTGTCAATCTTAAACCATACAGAAATTTATTATTCAAGGGCAGTTTGGGGGTTGTTTATACATTATTTAAACATAATCAATCAACAAATTAAAAATGTTAACTGTATTACGAAAGTTACAACCCCTGCATTCTAAGTTTGCTGTAGGTTATAGTTTAAATTACTTAAAATATTTGTCAATCTTAAACCATACAGAAATTTATTATTCAAGGGCAGTTTGGGGGTTGTTTATACATTATTTAAATATAATCAATCAACAAATTAAAAATGTTAACTGTATTACGAAAGTTACAACCCCTGCATTCTAAGTTTGCTGTAGGTTATAGTTTAAATTACTTAAAATATTTGTCAATCTTAAACCATACAGAAATTTATTATTCAAGGGCAGTTTGGGGGTTGTTTATACATTATTTAAACATAATCAATCAACAAATTAAAAATGTTAACTGTATTACGAAAGTTACAACCCTTGCATTCTAAGTATGCTGTAGGTTATAGTTTAAATTACTTAAAATATTTGTCAATCTTAAACCATACAGAAATTTATTATTCAAGGGCAGTTTGGGGGTTGTTTATACATTATTTAAACATAATCTATCAACGAAATAAAAATGTTCACAGTATTACGAAAGTTACAACCCCCGCACTCTAAGTATGCTGGAAGTGATAGTTTTAATAACTTAAAAAATTGATCAAGCCTAAAGCATGCGGAAATTTATTATTCAAGGGCAGTATAAGGGTTGTTTTTACATTATTTAAACATAATCTATCAGCGAAATAAAAATGTTCACAGTATTACGAAAGTTACAACCCCCGCACTATAAGTATGCTGGAAGTGATAGTTTTACTAACTTAAAAAATTGATCAAGCCTGAAGCATACGGAAATTTATTATTCAAGGGCAGTTTAAGGGTTGTTTATACATTATTTAAACATAATCTATCAGCGAAATAAAAATGTTCACAGTATTACGAAAGTTACAACCCCCGCACTATAAGTATGCTGGAAGTGATAGTTTTAATAACTTAAAAAATTGAGCAAACCTAAAGCATGCGGAAATTTATTATTCAAGGGCAGTTTAAGGGTTGTATATACATTATTTAAACATAATCTATCAACGAAATAAAAATGTTCACAGTATTACGAAAGTTACAACCCTTGCATTCTAAGTATGCTGTAGGTTATAGTTTAAATTACTTAAAATATT